GTTGAACAAAACAAAAGGCCTCATACAGTTTAGCAAATAAGGTGAAGGCACTTGTTAAAGAGTGGATCTCAACCTCTACTGGTGCTTTTATCAATTTGAATCCCCTCAAGTACCTATAAGTACAGTTACTCAAAGGTAGAATAAGGAAAACACAATTTGATGAGGTTGTAACTAAAATTCACAACCAACTCAACTGCTGAACAAATTCATTCTTATCCAATGGGGGTAGAATCAGTTTGTTGAAGCATGTACTATCAACTTTCCCCTCTTATACCTTTTAGATGGCTATTATAAGGAAAATTACTCAACAACTATTAGAAAAATGCTTTAATAGGTTCCTTTGGTCAGGCCAAAGGAAACAAGTTCATTGGATTAATTTGAACTAGCTTTGTAGACCTCTACAAATGGGGGCCTTTGGTTTAAATGTTTTAATAATCTCAAGCATATCAACTTCTGCAAACTTTGGATACATTTCAGGTCCCAATCTTCTCTTTGGGCAAACTCTTGATCGCCAAATACTGTAGAGAACAACATCCTACTTCGGTCTCCACCAGGCTGGGAGACTCTAGAAGTTGGTCTAATATGATTAAGGTGAAAATACAAGCTGATGATTTATTTATTTGGGAGTTGGGAGAGGGTGACTTAAATTTTTGGCTAGACAATTAGATTTTTGTGGGGAGATAGGCTAACTCTCACCCTTCCCCTAGTAACTTAAATCTTAAAGTCTCTTACTGTTGGAATGATTGCCACTGGAACCTTGAAACTCTTAATCACGTCTTGGATAGTACCCAAATTAGAAATATCATTAACATACATATTGATCCCTCATAGAAAGATACAATTATTATCAAAAAAAAAATCTCCCAATCTGCCTTAGCCTACATGTATAGCCATTATGATCAGGGTAAACCTATGGGGGAAACACATTTAGGGAAATTTTCTTTCCCCCTCCATGTCTTTCTTCCGTTGGAGACTTTTTTTAACGTTCTTCTTACTGATAAAATAACAAAACTTAAAGGGATTAGAGGAACATCTTGCTGTGCCCTGTGTAAGTAAGATGAGGAATCAATTGGCCACTTATTCTTCAGTTGTCCTTTTGTACAAAATATATGGAATACTTTTTTGGCTCAAAGCAAGATTCACACCTTAGAAATCACATGGCATAATTCTCACCACTGCTGGCTTAAATGGTACCAGATCAACCTCTCAACAATTCCTTGTGTTATAGCCTTGTTTTTATGGATGGCTAGAAACCAACTCAAACATGAGGAGAAATCTCCTGAGTTTAGAGTTATTGCTACCAATTGCTTGATATACATTGAAAAAGTTATTCAACTAAAGCACATTCCTGATATAATGAATTTGAGATTGAGACCATGGCCTCATCCCCCCACACTCAATTGATTTTTTGGCCAAATCCTGGTTGGAGATGGATTAAAGTGAACACTAATGGCAACATCATTAGTCCTAATGTTGGGATTAGTGGGGTCTTTAGGGACTAGCAAGGCAACTGCATTCTTACTTTATAGTCTCCTATTTCTGCCCTAGATGCACTGAAAACTGAAACTCTTGTGGTATTTTGGGCTCTTACCATTTCCAACAGATGCAACTTCAAGTAGTTGACAGTTAGATCTGATTCCAAAAGATTGGTCAACTTTCTTAATCACCAGCTAGATTGCCCGTAAAATATTTTTCTATGGATTAAAATTTTGCAGCAACTGACATCTCAACTTCATTCCAGATATCAGTTTATCCATAGAGATGGGAATAGACCTATTATTTGTCTTGCCAGGGCAGGTCTAAAATTTTATACTCCTATAATTAGCAAAATTTTGTCTCCCTCACTTTTTTTGTTGGATGGAGACCTTTTAGGTCTTTAATATATTAGATTTTTGTAACAACATTTACTTTGTCATTAATACAATCTCTTCACATACCTAGGTACTCTATGCACTCGGGAAGGTGAATCCTTCTCTAAAAAAAAAGTAAGTTCGAAGTGCAATTATAAGGAGAGCAAGTGATTCATCAGAACAATAAGGATTGCATGGAAAGTAGTTCAAAGATAAGTTGTGCACTTTGTTTTTACTTAATCTTGTCTAGTACACTTTAATTTATATATTAATTCATGTGTTGTTGTTTCTTCCTTATAAGATGTGAGTATTTTCCTTTATCTTTCTCCCTTCAATGAGGAATAATTATGTGTAAGAACATAGTTTAGTAGTAGTGCTTTTAAAATTCTATAAATTGTGATGATTCAAACTCTAGGCTTAATTTACTTATCAATCTGACCAAATGATTTTTTAAAATCCATTGTAAAATATAGTGACCAGAAATGGGCTTTTTTCCAACAGAGTAAGAATCACAGTTAGCCTTATGGATGAGAATGTAGTCCTTGAGGTTAAGGGAAAGTAAACAGGAGAATAAGTTTTGATGGGCGTAGAATTGGATTAGCCAATTTTCTTTATGCACTTGACAAAGGGTAAAGATATGAATTGCTCTTATCCGACACATTGCCTTAATTAAATTTAAAATTATTTCCCAACATATAAACTCATTCCTAGGGGAAGGATGCTTTATAAATATTTGAACTCTTCATACATTGTTAGTTTAGAGTTGTGGTAACATTACATTTTAAAAACTTTTTAGATTTTCTTGCATTTATATTTTTCGTTTGCTCAGCATACTTAGCATTCTTTCTAATTTGATAGGAGTAGATATTATACAAAATCTTGCAATCATTTCTTATATAATTTTACTAAAATGAATTTTTTATTAAAGTCAAGTTTATAAGAGTTTGCTTGTCTTTGTGACATCAATACTGAGGTTTTAAAAGAAAATTCTGTATTACTTGAAACAGTATGTATACTTGTGTAGTACACGTAGTGTGTAAACCATTTTTACCATCTTATATATACTATTTAATTTTTCACACTAGCCGTTGAAAATAAATTGGGCCAAGCTTATGAGCATTTTTCTAAACTTAAATAACTTTGTAATTGCGGGTCGGGTATGCCTACACCTCTCACCAAGACATACACAGACCTTATCATTGTTTTCACAATGGAAATTGTTGAGGCTATCTACAAAGGTTATTATGCATTGTATCATTCCCATAACATGTCCTAGTTAAGGAACCACCTCTAGAGCTGTGTCCAAGTTAAAATTTGAGATTGGCTTTTCTATGCTTGGCTTTTTGGATCAGATTCATTGTTAAGACGTCGATCAGACCTTTATATAGACTTTATCAGTTGCCTTTTTAATTTTACATCAATTGAGAGTATATGGCATCAGAATTGGTTTATTTTGTGACATTTTCACTAAACCTTTACGTTTAACTTTTCCAAGTCTCAATTACTTGGTCGGATTTTTGCCTCAGTTGGCCCACACCATTTAACGGAGCTTCTCGCTATCGGAAAAGAAACCCTCGAAACTAACTTCTAGGGTGGTTTCCGTAATACACTTCCCAGAGTTTGTGACTACTGAATAGGGGACCACTTCCATAGCTTTATCTGATTGAATTTAAGAGATCATGATTTTCTACGTAGGAGCTATATGGGTTATTTTGCTGACTGATCCTCTTTACGGTCACTATCCATGTTGCTTATTGGGGTGAAGCTTCCCAAATTTGAATTCAACCAATGAAAACTATTAAAAAGATTTAAGTGTCATAGCATAATAAATTTTAAATTAATACTCTTTATATTTGTTGAGTATGTTGTCAGTGTCCTAGAGCTGACTGAGCATACTGCAAGTATTGTTGGTCGGCTTGCTTAGACTTTTTTTGTGGCCAACCATTTTGGGAGACTCACCCACCAACCAAATCCTCTAATATAGCCATGAAAGTGACTTTTTTTACTTTAAATTTGTTGTTATTAAACTTCTTTGCATTGTCAGTTTTTAATGTGTCTTTGAGATAATTTCTCCTAGTTAGCATCACCTCCCTTTATGTCAGTATCTTGTTATACACTCACCACACATATTAGGATGTTGAATCCAAATTTATCCTATGAGACATTCCCAAGAATCGGAGCAGTTGAAATTATGATGGAGAAGAATAGAGAGATAGAGAATGATATAAAAGAGCACATGCAGATTTGCCCCGTAGAGGCGAGTTAGTGTCCTTTTAGGTCAGCGACCCATTTTATACTTTGTAACTACAGAGTTACAAGAGAATAGAGGATAGAGATCTCCTTATAAATGTGAGTCTAGAGAGAAAAGCCTCAAAACGCCAGATTCTGTAGAGGCCTACAAAACCAGTAATAAATGCTGTGGACCTACTATTTATAGAAGATAGAGAGCTAAAATAGAAAAATTATATGTTTTCCCCCGCTTTAATAGAGGTGTCATAAAACTTTAATTTTTGTATCAGTAACTAACTTTGGCATCTTCTAATGTACAAAGACCTTTTGATCGACACTAAACCAGTTTCAGTCGGCTATTTTGCCAGGATACCGATCGTCTTTTGCTCTAGGAAGGTGATCGACTGGCTGTCAATCATAAAACAGTTCTTCAACCGGTTAGTTTTATGAGCATTATAGATTTTCATGGAGGGTTGATCCACATTTAAGATGACTTGAGATTCGTGCAGCTCATTTTTAGGTGTACTTTTATAAAAGTTGTACTACACTTTATAAAAGTTAGAGTAATATTACATTTTTATTGTGATATAAATTGATTTGCACGATAGAGAGCAAAATTTAAGTTTTAGATACATAAACTCATAAAAATTGGAAGGAATGCATGTAAACGATCTTATATATTTTAATAGAAAAAAGCTTTATTAGAATTTATTCATCAAAAAATTATTTTTAAATGCGTGTAATATATAAATAATTATTTCTATATTAATCTCAAGACATGAAAAAAAAATTAGAAATTATTTTCTTTTATTTTGTAGTTGATATATTTATTTGTTTTGGCATACAATATTGTATTTTATTTAACAATATACAACAAAATAGACTAACAAGCGTGCACAAGGTACACCTTCCTCTACATACACAGCAAGCTCCTACAATCTCCGCCAAAGTGGCCTAAACCACTGCGACTCAAATGAAGAATGAAAATGAAGAATGAAACGAAACCATAAACCAGCAACAGCACCACTAAGGCTGCCATCCCCCACGAGGAACTCCCCGCTCTTTGTATCCCCTCCTGCTCCGCCCTCATCCGTGCCGGCAATACCATTCTCCCATCAACAACTAAACACTTCGCCAAAAATACAAGCATCAAAGGCACAAGTAACAGAAGCAGTCGCAGCCCTACCTCCGCACGCTCCACCCTCTCCCTATAACCCTTTCTTGACAAAGGAAGCGAAAGAAAAAGCAGCACGATGGCGAAGATGGTGAGGAGAGGCGCTGGCGGGAGGGAAAGCGAGTTGAGAGTCTGGGCTCGCCATCCCTGCTTCCATTGCGGGCCTCTTCTTTCACGTAAGAGCCAAGGCATGTTTGATTTGTAAGTGTAGGAGGTTTTGCTTGAGAGGAAGGTGTTACAGCGGCGGAGGGGTTAAGAAATGGTGGAATGGGAAGGCATTTGATGCTTTCGGGATTGTTTAAGGGGCGGAAGTGGACAGGATGCGGTGAAGCGGAAAGAAGGAATTGGATTCTTTTGTTATAGGGGGGCGAATCAGTGCTACATGATGGATGGAGAAGTGCTTAATTTGATGTGATTAGAATCGAGGGGGTGCAGTAAGGGAATAATCCCAGCCGATTATTTATCACAGCTCTACAGTGCTTAGTGATATGGTCCATCGGCGACCAAATTATATGCTTTTGATTGATCGTTAGGACACTTGTCAACATATAAGTGTCGGAAAAACATATTGTCTTCATATATATTTAAAATCATTATTAAAAGATAATGGCCTTAATGTTCCTCTAGTTTTTTTGCCCTTCTAATTATAATTGATTGCTAGGGTAATAATTGAAATTTTCTTCATGAAAATAGTATGTCTGGAGCTCATAATTAAGATTTTCATTAATGATGTGAAACAAATGTGTAATAAAAGATCCAAAATTATGAAAACTGTAAAAGTAAACATTTTAAAATTTTTACATGTAAGAAAATTTTAAATTGTAGAAATGTTTTAATTCCTAGAGCACTATATTTTTCAGCACACATTCATAAAACTGCAGGAGACAATTAGAATTTTTACATGAATTAATGAAATAAAGGGAAAAAAACCCTAGGCGGGGGTCCATCAAAGTAATTCAATAGAAAATAAAAAGTTATTTACATTAATATATATATATATATATATATATATATAATTGGTCACATTGTACTGTAACTTGAAGTTAGCCTAAGAAAAAATCTAAAAATTTAATTTTAAATTCAGAATAAATCAATTATATTAAACAAATATCGCCTAGTTTGCATAGCTTATGGAGGCTTGTTTCTTAGATATTAGGTAATACAAATTTCTAAAATTACTGCTTTATAAAAGTTAAGTGGAAAACAAACATTAATAAAAAAAATATCAACATTTGGTGGGAGCCAACTTTTTTTATCGTTAAATAATTTTTTGAGTTTTAAATCTGGATTTGCTTTCTATGGCACATCAAAGATATAGAGTGGTAAGGAATATGAGGAGAGAAATTCGGGGAGACAAACAGATGAATGAAAAACAAAAGTGCAAACAGACTTGCAACCTTCGGACGAACTGGGATATTCCCCTGTTATGTGACACATTTTATCTTAAAATAGAGGTTACAAGAGAAGAAGAGAAAGTTAAAGAAGAGTAAAAAAGCCCATTTACATGCACTGAACCACCTATTTATAAAGGATATAGAGCCACTAGTAGATAATTATATATATGTTCATGCTTTAATTAGGAGGTTGTTGCATCTAAAATGTATAACATTTATCTATAAAATTTTATACGTATTTTTAAGATATTACCATTTAATGAAAGGTATTTGCGTGTTTTCCTTTCATGCACAATCAAATTGATGAAAAATAGTGAAATGAGTGAAAAGGGATCAAATTTGGAGCAAAAATGAAGAAGGTGTGCAAAAGAACTGTGGCGCCTAAGCACTCAGAACTGACGCTTACGTGCCAGCAAAACAGAGAAGGACGCGCCTAAGTGCCAGTACCTCGCACTTAGGCGCCAGAAAAAGTTTCTTAATGATTCAATAAATTTGGACAAACTTTTGAAGAGGTGTTTGAAGCTACTCTTGGTAAAAACGTGAGAAATAGTTAATGCACACAAAAATACATTCAATTGGCTTTTAAAAGGAGGCAACTCCTGGAAGATTCATTGAATGTGGACACATTTTGAAGAGACATCAAGACATCTTTTAAAAAATTATAAAAGTAGGACTTGGATTGAATTGAAGAGGAGTCGTCACCCCCTTCTAGACACCAACGACAATTCTCTCTCTTAGATTAATTAGGATACTTTTAGAGAGAAGAAGGAGAGGAGTTGCAGTGAGTGAGTAGAAAGTATTGTAAGAGAAAGAAAAAGAAGAGATTCAAAGAAATTTTAAGAGTTTGGTGAAGAGGTTTTCAGATAAGTTTTTATCTTTGTCACTACGTTTTGTTTTAATTTAGACTTCTTGTTTAATTTCATGATTTTTATTTTCAAACTTAAGTGTGGTTGTGTTTTCTCCAAGGTATTTGTGTGTTTCTTTATCTTTTTCCTTAAAATGATAAATGAATAAGTATTAGATGAAAGTTTTGTGAAGTATAAATCCTTAATGTTGGAATAACTTGTGATGCTTTTAACTTTTTTACTTCATTTACTTCTTGATTTAGTCAATTAAGATGCTAATATTTGTCGTAAGAACATGTAAGATCCAAGATGGAATTGTTTCAGTCAACTAATGGTAAGAATCACATGAGATTGTATGGATGAGAATGTAGTTCTTATGATTTAGTGCAAATAAATAGGGAAGGGTGTAGAATTAGAGCACTTTAGAGTGATAGACTAAAGCCCCCAATTTGGTTTATAATTTTAGTTTTTGATATGAGATGTTATCCCCTAGGTGGAGGGAGAATAGGCAACTCTAAAGTGAGAGCTAGTGTCTTCCGTAACTAGCCCGTCTTCAAAACTATTCAAACTTTAAATTAGTCAATGTTCTTTATAGTATCTCTAGTAAGGGTAAAGAGTACTATTGCTTCTATTTGACACACCACAATTTGAATACTTCCACAACAAAATTCCTTTACTTGTTACTGATTCATGATAAGGAAAAAAAATATTTTATTTATATTGTCTTCATCTTACAAATATCTAGTTAAATTTAGTTAGTTGTTTACATTATTTTCAAATATTAAAAAAAAATACAAAAACAATCGAACTTTCATTCCTATTATAGCATCTATAGTTTGAGTAAGAAAATTTTGCATAGTAAAATTTGTTATCTAGTTTCTTCTGACTTAGTTACATATTGTATTTCTCCTTGTGGATTCAATATTAGGGTCTTAATCAAAAAATCTTATATTACTTGATAATGTTATGTAAACTTGCGTTGTATCCCATATTTAAATATAATAATTACATTCTTATTTGCTTCAAAGTCAAGTTTTTTTTCTAGCAGTAGTCGGGGATCAAGAATTTGGCACCGTTGCAAAGTAAGAAATACTAGTAAGAAAAAATTAAGAATATAATCGCATGCATAGTACTGTCCTACAAAATCAGGATCAAGTTTTGGCGCCGTTATCGGGGACAATAAAAATTTTTGAAGAAATTTTTAGAAAGTCTTATTTAAAATTTTAGATTTATTATAAGAAAATTGTAGTGTTGTTTTTAAATAAGTTCTTGTATGTATTATTTTTTCTTATGTTGTTTTATAGTAATATATGCGTAGTTCAGGTTTTAAAGGACAAATGCCCTAATATTTTGAATTAGAAAGAACCACTAGAAAAATAAATAAAAAAAAAATAATACAGAAAAAGACCAAAAACTCAAGAAATTGCGAACCAAAATAATCAAAATGCTGAAATTAATCAAGAATTTAGATTTTTAAGAGAATATACAAACCAGAATAGTTGAACTTCATTGTAGTATTCAAAAACCTGTTGTTGTGGCTAATTCATTTGAACTTAAACTTGTTATTATTCAAATGGTATAAAATAATCAGTTTGGGGGAGCACTACCTGAAGATCCAAATTTACATTCTTCCAATTTTTTAGAATTGTGTGCTACATTTAAAGATGATAGTGTTTCAGATAATGCTATAAGACTTTGACTTTTTGCTTTCTCGCTGAGGGATAAGGCTAAGATATGGTTACATTCATTAGCACATGGATCTATCAGAATTTCAGGTGATTTAGCGTCGAAATTCCTTGCTAAATAATTTACACCATAAAAAACTGCAAAGCTTAGAAATGATATTACAACTTTTCTTCAGTTTGAAGGGGAATCTACTTATGAAGCATGAGAACGATTTATAGAACTACTGAGAAAGTTTCCACAACATGCTATACCAGATTAGTTAATAATTCAAACTTTTTACAATGGATTAACTGAGTCTCTTAGATCTATTATCGATGTCGCTTCTGGTGGTTCATTGATGTCAAAATCATTCCATGACACTTATGTTTTAATTGAAGAGATGGCTAATAAAAGTTTTCAATGGCCTTCTAAGACGTTAAATCTTAAGAAAGTAGCCAATATACATGAATCTGATGCTTTTCCAATGTTAGCAAATCAAGTTGCTACAATTTCAAGGAAGTTAGACCAATTTGGAATGAAATTTTCTCATTCAATTTCAATGATTGAAGAGAATTCATTAGGCCAAATAGTAGATTCTCAAACGTCATTAGAAACTTTGAATGACATAAACAACAAGCAGAATAACCCATATTCAAACTATTATAACTCAGGTTGGAAGAACCATCATAACTTTAATTGGAATAGTACGGGTGGTAATAATCAGCAATGGAGGAGCAACTTGTAAAATCATTGGGAAATTGGAAAAACAAAAGTAATAGTAATTATAGCCCTAGTATCCTTCAGGTTTTAACAGTAATCCACAATTGGAGAAAATGTTCTCTATAGAAGAAGTGGTGTTACAAGTGGGAAGTCAGTTACAAAGTTAAGAAGCTACAATTAGAAATATTAAGAATCAATTGGCATAAATAACAACTTCATTAAGTAATAGATTCCTAGTAATACAGAAGTAAATTCAAAAGACTAGAATAAAGAGCAAGTGATCGCGTCTTTTTTGTATGCTAGGTTTTATCAAGTTAACATCACTATTTGAATACTTTAATCTTTAGCAACGGTACCAAAACTTGGTGCGTACTTTGTGTTCTTCATTAATTTTGTAAGGTAAAAATCACAAGCAAGAGCCAAAATAGTTTCTTCATTAATGTCAAAAAAATTATACAAATTTTTCTACCAGTTGTTCCTTACAATGAGGAATGACTGAAACCAGGAAAAAAACAAAATCTTCTTAAAGTAATAGGGATGAAAAAAGAGAAATGAGCCAGGCGACAGTACACCCACCATCGTTGCCCCCTCCTGCTCTAGTTGGCCCAACCTCTTCATTGTTTTCATCTTTTGGATCAGAAAGCAGGCAT